CCAAGAAAGGGTCTGAGTTGCTCTCGGTGAGAAGGGTCAGGAAGCAGTATTGGTTCCCCAGGTGTCTTGGGCCCCAAGACTAGGAATGGCGCAGGGCCCAAACTAGGAGTATAGAACGGCGTGGGGGATGGAAGGGTGAATGTGGCTTAGGGAGTCCCGGCTCAGAGGGCTGCGCTATAGACTTACCCCAAGAGGCCTGAGGATAGTAGTGCAGGCTAGGAGAGTTAGCTGGTGGTGCAGGCCCAGGGAAGCAGAGAGCGTAGTTCCTTTTTAAAATTAAAATTTAATACCTCATATTTCACTTCATTTTTTTAAAAAATCTTCCAGAATGCTGTGGTGTATGTGAATTCATTTGCATCTGTGATACAGAGTTGAGTTAGCCCAGAGTGTTGTGCCTAGGACCCCACAATGTGGCCCATATATTGGAAATGTCTGTTTTCCTAGTAACTGGTCAAACTTTAAAAAGAAAATGAATTTCAAAGTATAACCTCAGGAATATTTAAAAACTGCAGTATAAGCTCATGTCCATAGGACATGTTTACAGACATGTAACGAAGTAGATTAAGACAAAGTAGATTTTTTCAAAGCCTTTCTTTTTCTGTGTGATTCTGTGGTGTAGACTGTATTGAACTACATAGGCCATCCATTTGTGATCTTACATTTTTTTTTCTGCAAATATGACTTCTTTGGTTTCCTCTGCTTGTTTTGATATTATTGGTAACCTTTCACCAGGTTCATGAAGGGGTTGGGGGTGTGGGGAAGGTGTGCAAAATCCAGGAAGAAGATAGAGGTTAGATGATTAGCGTTCAAAACTACTAGGAGCAAATCCTTGACTGAAGGCTACTCACAAATCCAGAGTCCTCTCTGGGCTCCTTGTTGGAAACATGTCCCTGCAGGCTTGAAAAGAGCACACTGCTGAGCCTCCCAACCCGCATCAGAGCCTTTTCTTATCCTCCCAGAAGCCACCTGTGGCTGGCATTTTCGTAGGAGGAGTTCCTTTCCTCTAAAAAAGTTATATGTTCTATTTAAAAAGCAGCTTTCAGTCATCTCTACCCCATAACTCCAGTGTCCATGATAAATCTTTATGGACTTGAAGTGGAAAGGCGGCTTTATACCATGGCAATGCAGGAAGGCCCCTTCAGATCTGCAGGAACAGTGAGGAGGAGGAGAGGGTGCTTATAGGTGCTGGGCACTGTGTACAGTTCATCTTGACTAGAAAGCACCAATGCACCCCAGCATCCACATCTTTGTTCCAGTTCTGACCCAAGCACATGGAGGGCCGGGTACTGCTCTGAGCTCTGGGCCACCTGTTTACATTGGGTTCCTACATCTTTGCTTTGATTTTGGCAGCCATCCCTCCAGAAGTAAGTGTAGAGAATTTGGAAAAAGAAATGGAATCGATTTGGAGAACCTACTTTGGCAGCTAACTGCACTGTTTACTAAAGCAGGAAGCCGTCTCTAACTTTATGTTAGGAAAATAACTCTAAAGAGACCTTTACGTTAGTAGTAATTAAGTTGAAAAGGCTTGGTGTGTGGTGATAATCTTCAAATCTTTGGCACATGAGTTCTTCCTGACTGTGAGCATAGATTCAGATTTTAGGCTCCTGAAAACATGCCTTTGGTTAAATAGGCAAAGGGAGGTTAACAAGATTCTGTTTACCCAATAGCCATATCCCCAGAGCCATGAGGACACCCAGCTTTTGTGAGAGACGTTAGGCGGGCATCTTGAAAGCTGTTATAAAAGCCGTTGTTTCTGTGGTGGCTCTGCCCCAGCAGGGCCCCTTCTCAGTTTAGCAGTATGTCAGAAATACTTTAAAGACTAGCAGATGCCTGCCCTAATAAAAACCATGTCTATCCCCTTTGAATGCTTTTATACATTTTTACTGTGCCCCCCCGCCTTGGGGTTTGGAGTGTGGAAAAACTGAAGCATTTAAGGAAACTTGATCACTTTACACATTTCTTTATCATTATTGAACATGCAGAAGATTGAGTTTGACTATGTCTTAGTTAAGGAGGAGGGTGGCAGTTTGATGTTTAACGCAGCCCTCCCTTGTCCCCTCTCTCCTGTTTCCCTTTCTTACCATCTCCTCTTAGTTCCTGAGTATCAACTCCAGTGTTGTATAAAATAGAGGCAGCAGTGAGAACTGAAAAAAGTGGGAGGCTGAGCTGATTTAGGGCTCAGAGTGTCACCAGTGGTGGTAATTCGTCTATTAGCAAAGGAATGTTGCTTTTTACCACATGTGAGAGGCTACCACAAGTTATTAAAGGAAGGTTGAAAGTCCACATTTTTCAGAGACAAATTTTATAGTCTGGTCCAACCTCTGTGGTGGTTCTGATAACCTCTTGTGAGTTTGGGGTAATATAAAGAATATCTGGATTTTCCTAGGAATTTCTAAGTGTGGCATGCCTTGTAGTACATGTAGAATAGAATATTGTATTCACATAGATGAGGCTCAAACAGATCAAAACTAAGGTTGGAACATAAAATAAACACAGACGCATGGTGTTTTACATGGATTTATGGAACTCTCTAATGTCATAGACAATTAAGTCAGCCCATGTGCAACTAGCTAAAGGAAACTAGCTGTTGTAACACATGCTGTATGTAATATGGAAATAGATGGTTTGTAAACAGTGTAGACCAAAGGGTCAGCAAGAGGACAGGGAAGATGGCCATCAGGACAGTTTGCTGCAAGGCCAGCTCTTCTAAGAGAGGAACAGTCCCTTTCCAGGACATAGTGGCAGGAGATGTGACTGGAAAGCTGGAGCCAGCCAGTGGAGATGCCTGGGCTTCAGTTCCCATCTTGTGTCCTCAGCAGGCAGTCGACCCTTGAAGGACTTTGAGCAGAAAGACAGGTGTTTGCACTAGAAGCAGTCGGCAAGCAGCCTGGCGGGTGAGCTGGCAGAGTCTGGAGGTGCTCTTGCCATATGCAGTGGTGCATTCCTGTAATCTAGAGATAGGGGCAGGAACCCAAAACAAGGCTGGGTGTGGTGGTGCACACCTTTAGGCCCAGCACATTGGAAGCAGAGGCAGGTAGATCTCTCTGAACTCAAGGCCAGTCTGCTTTACATAGATGGATTTTAAAAAATTATTTTTAATATTATAATGCAGAAAGTTGTGTATAATTATCTGAATTATTTTATATTTGTATCTGTTACTGAACTTGCCTTCACTGGGTGTTTTGTTTGGGTTATAGCTTTTATCCCAGAAAAACTTAGTCTTTAGTTTTATTTACCTTAATGTATGATTTAGAAGGGTCTGTAATGGGGCTGGAGAGATGATCCAGCAGTTAAGAGCACTGGCTGTTCTTGCAGAGGACCTGGATTCCAATCTCAGTTCCCACATGGCGACTAACAACTGTCTATAACTTCGGTTCCAGGGGATCTGATGCCCTCTTCTGGCATCCATAAGCACTGCATGATACAGGTGTACTTACATACATGCAGGCAAAACACTCAGACACGTAAAGTAAAAACAAAAGTTTTTAAAAGAGTTCTGTAAGAATAAGAATATTCAGTGTGACATTTTAAATTGCTCTGTTTTCTTAAATTGTTATTACCTTTTATTTATTTTGGGAGGAAGTGTTCCAGGCTCTGCATGTGAAAGTCAGAGGACAACCTGTGGGGAGTTTCCTTCTACCATGTGAGTCCTGGGATCTGAACCCAGGTCCTCAGATCTGGCTACAAGCACCCTGATCTGCTGAGCCATCCCTCTGGCCCTATTTAAGCACTAGGTTGTGAAGTTCAAGTTGAGATTGTTTGGTGTTTTTTTTTTTTGCCATGCTGGGGCCTTAAGGCCTCACACATACTAGGCAAGCACCGCCTCCCTGAGCCACACCCCTGCCCAGCAGGCTGACTCTGATACTGTTATCCTCACCGTGTTCTCCCCTTCTGCAGGCATATCTTTTTCTTGCACATCAAGGAGTCCCTCTTGGCAGGCCACCTCCAGTGTTCCCCGGAGCATGCAGTGGAGCTTAGCGCCCTCCTGGCACAGACCAAGTTCGGAGACTATAACCAGAACACAGCTAAGTACAGCTTCGAGGAGCTGTGTGAGAAGGAGCTCTCCAGTGCCACTTTGAACAGGTGAGGCCAGCACAGTCTCGAGGATATGTGTGTGTGTGTGTGTGTGTGTATGTGTTTGAGTTTGAGTGTGAGTGAGATGCCCTCACAGAGCCACAAACATGATGAACAGCCAGGGAAAATGGCCCCGTGAGACATACACATAATTTGTGAGCTTGAGCCCAGACCATTGCTCACTTTAACCAGGTGTTTTCAGATTTGTTTGCCTTTTATTTGAGAGACATAAACGCAAAGCGGCCTGCACAGATAAATGCCCTTCTATGAAATGTCAAGTATAACAAGACTCTGCAAAGTGTCTGACCTTTTAAATACATGAATCTCCAACAATAAAAGTCTAGCATGTTTACTGGTATTTGTTTCATCCCAGCAAGAGCTGGATCTACCAGCAGTATCTCAGCTGTCTGTTCCTGTCTAAGTTACCCCTGAACTTGGTGGCTTAAGACAGAAATGTTGTCTCGGTAGCTGAGAACATGAGGGCAGGGACTCAACTGCTGCTGGAGGTTCATCTAAAAGCCCAGCAGAGAGAGAGCTCCAAGGCCAGGATGACTCTTGCTTGGCTGGCCTCCTTCCCTTGATACCCAAGACGTCAGGACTTTGGCAGTGTGGCAGCTGGTCACCCAGGGTAGTGATTGAACTCAGAGCAAGAGAGAAGAGCCAGAAAAGAAATCAGTCCTTGGTGACCCAATCTCAGAAGTACGTTCCATGCCATATGGCCACCATATTCTGTCATTAGAAGCCAGTCACTAATCTAGCACACACTGGAGGGAAGGAAGCCATACCAGGAGGCGGGGTCTTCAAGGACCACCATGAGAGATTGTCTACCACAAGAGAAAATAGATCCTGTATCTTCTTCAGTTGTAAATGATGTAATCAAACCCTCATGCTGCTGGCCTATGATGAGGCTTACAAAATATATTTAGATAATTGCATGAGGAGTTCTAACATGCACATTTGTCTTTTGTGTATTTTTTTTTGAGTTTTACCATAATTCTTTCTGTGTGTGTGTGTGTGTGTGTGTGTGTGTGTGTATGTATCTGTGTGTCTGTGTGTGTATACAGTGTGGTGGCCAGAGGACAGCTTATGGGAGGGAGTCAGTTCTTTCCTTCCACAGTATGGGTCCCAGGGATCGAACTCAAGTTATGAGGCTTGGTAGTAAGCACCTTTGCCAAGGTGGATTCTGACCCTGGATAGTTGAGATGTTGAACAGTGACTTAGGAGTTTCTTACAGTCAATTTGCTAAATAAATGGAATAGTAACATCTCATTTAGTGTTTTTTCTGATTCATAAATGACCATATCACTGTAATTCACTAGTGAACGTTATATAACCTTTAAAGACTGTTTGAATTAATCTGTCTAACTTTGTACCTTTGTCTCACAGCATCATTGCAAAGCATAAGGAGCTGGAGGGTGTGAGCCAGGCTTCAGCAGAGTACCAGGTTCTGCGGATTGTGTCAGCCATGGAGAACTACGGGGTAGAGTGGCATGCCGTGAGGGACAGTGAAGGGCAGAAGCTGCTCATCGGGGTCGGGCCGGAAGGAATCTCAATCTGTAAAGACGACTTTAGCCCGATTAATAGGTAACCTGAGTCTTTAGTATTTTCTTAAAGATTTATGTTCATTATTTTTAGTTATGTGAATGTGTTGTGGGTATGTGCACATGCGTGCAGGTGCCTGGGGAAGCCAGAAGCATCAGATCCCCTGGAGCTGTAGTGACAGGTGTTTGTGAGCTACTTGACATAGGTCTTGGGAACTGAATTCTAGTCCTCTACAAGGACAGCATGTTCTCTTAACTGCTGAGCCATGTCTCCAGCCCCCAATATTATTTTAATCATAACTATGTGTATCCATCTGTAGCGTTCATCTGAAAATGTAAAATGGGCGGGATTACTAGATACCTCTAACCAGTGAAATTTTTTGTTTTGGTTTTTATTTGTTCATTTTATTCAGGCCTTAATAACGAATTATTCTTTAAATGCTAACAACATGTTCTGGTATGACAGAATAGTTTTCAAATGCATGGTTTACAGCCATAAGTATTTCAATGCCTTCTTCTACATACATGCACACACATCAAGTGTGCTCTTAACACTTCTCTCCATGTGCACAATGGCTCTTCAGTGTCTTCACAGCAAGGAAGAAGGGTTGTAGAACACCCAGCATGTCTGCTGCGTCACGGGCAATCTGAGGGCCGTGTATTCTTGTGCTAAGTCGTTCCTTCTGAGCCTGCTCACTTTCCTCTTCCCGTCTTTCAGGGTAGCTTATCCTGTGGTGCAGATGGCCACCCAGTCAGGAAAGAATGTGTATTTGACCGTCACCAAGGAGTCTGGGAACAGCATTGTGCTCCTGTTTAAAATGATCAGCACCAGGGCGGCCAGCGGGCTCTACCGAGCTATCACCGAAACGCATGCTTTCTACAGGCACGTACCACCATGTCCCTTGTAAGCTTGGTGCCGCAGCTCTGTAATGCTTAAGTGACAAGCAGTTTCTGCAATTTCTGCTGTCATTGTGGTGATGAATCTTGTTCAGAAGATAAGAAATGGGCTGCTTTGAGCACTTGTTTTGCAGGACTAGTAGAGCTGTCATCACAGAGCCCTGTGCTCCTAAGGAAGTGTGAGCACGAGCCTTGCTTACAGTCTGCTTGTCCTTCACCTCATTTGCACAAAGGTGTAGCTGTGCCTGTCCTGCTACTGGGTCCTTTCCTGGGAGAACCGTGGCACAGGTCTCTCCCTGCTGTGAAAGATCCTGTCCTAAACCCTCACACACTGAAGTTATTTTTTATTTTGTTTGGCTTTCTGAGACCAGGTCTCTCTGTGTCACCAAAGCTAGTCTGGAACTCGCTATGTATAGCCCACACTGGCCTCAAACTCACAGCAGGCCTCCTGCCTCAGCCTCCCAATTGCTGGGACTGCACCAGCGTGCACCACCACACCTGGCCACAGAGAAAATTTTTAAGTAACAACCAAGGTCTCACTCCAGAGGGTCATTTCAAGCCTAGTTGTGATCAGACTCAAGTACTTAGAAAAATTAAAGCCAAAAATATAGGTGGTAGGATGCCTTCATCTTTTTGGTGTGTGTGTCGGGGGGTGTCTTTTTGAACAGGCTCTCCCTGTATAGACCAGGCTGGCCTCTCTGACAGATCTACTTGTCTCTGCCTCCCCAGTACTGGGACTGAAGGCATGCACCACCATGCACAGCACCTTCAAAGTTTTTATGTTAAAATAGACTGTTGGGCAAAATGGAAAATCTGTAGACATTTTAAATATAAAAGCCAAGACTTCTAAGAGCAAACATCCTTTCTCTTCCCCAAGCTGCTGGGCACAGCTTGCAGCCGGAAGGAGGGGTGGCATGGTCACCCCTCCATCCTTACAACTACCTCCTCCACTGCTTTGGAGACTTTGAGAAACACAGAAGTGGGGTTGTTGAGCTACTGAGCACACACAGAGTACATAGAATGGCAAGAATTTACAGACATGCACACAGGAACATTAAGTGTCTTAGCAAGTGACATAGTTCAGTTGGTAGAGTGCTTGCCTAGCGTACAGAAAGCTCTGGGTTTGAGATCCAGCAACCCATTGACTGGGCATGGGCATGGTGGTGTGCATTTCTGTAATCCCAACACTCAGGACGTAAAGGCAGGACGATTAAAAGTTCCAAGTCATCCTTGCTTACATAGTTCAAGACCAGTTTGGGCTATAAGCCTCCCACTCCAGAAAAAAAAAAAAATAAGGAAAAAGAAAATTACATGTCTTCTAAGCCAGGCATGGGATTAAAAGTTCCAAGTCATCCTTGCTTACATAGTTCAAGACCAGTTTGGGTTATAAGCCTCCCACTCCAGAAAAAAAAAAAATAAGGAAAAAGAAAATTACATGTCTTCTAAGCCAGGCATGGTGATACACACCTGTAATTCCAGCAAACAGGAGGCCGAGGAAGGAGGACTGCAAGTTCCAGGCCAGCCCAGGCTATAGTATCTCAAAGAAAAAATAAGTAAGGAAGCAGGTAGATGGATGGATGGATGGATGATAGATTAGCTAGATATATAGGTAGGTAGGTAGGTAGGTAGATAGATGGTTGGTTGGTAGATAGATAGATAGATAGATAGATAGATAGATAGATAGATAGATAGATGATAGATGGATGGATAATAGAGATGATTCATTGACTGATAGAGGTGGTTGATTGATGATTGATAGTAGATGATTACAAAGGTTCACTGATTGATTGATGAGATGATTGATAGATAGGTGGATAGCTGGATAATAGCAAAGATTGATTGATAGAGGTGGTTGGTAGGTAGTAGTAGATAGATGATAGATGATTGATAGTAGATGATGGATAGATAATAGAGGTTAACAGATTGATTGATTGATTGATTGATTGATTGATTGATTGATTGATTGATTGAGGTGGTTGGTGGATGGATGGATGGATGGCTAGATAGATGGACAGGTAGATAATTGGTAGGAGATGATGGATGAATGGATAATAGAGGTGATCGATTGAGGTGGTTGGTAGGTAATAGATAATAGGTATCTGATAGTGTAAATTACAGGGCTTCCTGGGCTCTCCAGTATTAAAGTAGACATTTCACTCTTTCCTTGCAGGTGTGACACAGTGACCAGTGCTGTCATGATGCAGTATAGTCGTGACTTGAAGGGCCACTTGGCATCTCTGTTTCTGAATGAAAACATTAACCTCGGCAAGAAATACGTCTTTGATATTAAAAGAACGTCCAAGGAGGTGTATGACCATGCCAGGAGGGCTCTGTACAATGCTGGTGTTGTGGACCTCGTCTCACGAAGTGACCAGAGCCCTCCCAGCTCCCCTCTGAAGTCCTCAGAAAGCAGCCTGAGCTGTAGCAGCTGCGAGGGCTTCAGCTGCCAGCAGACCAGGGTGCTGCAGGAGAAGCTGCGCAAGCTGAAAGAGGCCATGCTGTGCATGGTGTGCTGTGAGGAAGAGATCAACTCCACCTTCTGCCCCTGCGGCCACACTGTGTGCTGTGAGAGCTGCGCTGCCCAGCTGCAGGTAAGGCATCCCTTATCCCTCCGGCCAGTGAGGGTCTGATAGTCACATGACACACAGAACATACAATACCATCTCCACCTGGAAAGGCCTTTGTGTTGGGTGACTTGAAGGCTTTCACACTTTAGAAACATTGTGAGGGGCTGGGGAGATGGCTCAGCGGTTAAGAGTGCTGGCTGCTCTAACAGAGGACCTGGGTTCAGTTTCCCAGCACCCGAATGGCAGCTCACAACTGTCTGTAACTCCATTTTCAGGGGATCAGGCACTGTTTTCTGAGCCCTGAGGGATTGCACAACACGGGTGCACTTCATACATGCAGGCAGTGCACTCATACACATAATAATAATTAAAAAAGAAATATTATGGACAGCACATTCCTGCCACCATTGTGAAGCCGCAGGTTTTCCAGGTTTTAGAAACAAGGTCCAGGTTGACCGGTTACTGCATCTAGAAGCTAAACCGAGAGCCAGAATCCAGGCCGGCCTCTGATACTTCATGTTGCCTTTTTTCTGATACCTGGGAAGAGGGTCTGTATTATTTGCCTAAAATACTACAGAAAAAAATACTTCAATTTTTGGGTTATACTTAAGGGTGAGTTACTAACTCTGATTATTTGTGATTAATTTTCCATTTTAAATTATGTGTATTCATTTGTGTGTGTGGGGGGGGTGTGTACACAAACATGCACATGCCACAACACACGTGTGGCAGTCAGAGGACAACTTGCAGGAGTCTCTCCTTCTGCCATGTGGGCCCCAAGGATTAGTTTCAGGTCATCAGACTTGGTGGCAAGCGCCCTTACCTGCTGAGCCATCTCACTGGTCCCCATGAGTATATCTCTAGAGACCTCTTAGATTGGCTGCTACTTGTTAGCAAGTCAAACTGGTTTTAATACAAAAATAAGGTAATTCATACACAGCATTTCTAGCTCTCTCGCACCTTACATTTCCTCTTAACGGTAATTTTTTTCACTTGCTTTCACGTCTCAGAAGTGTCTATCAGATGTCACGATGGGCACATGTAAAACTAGCCCTGCATGCCACCCATTCCTTCAAAACTGCAGGTTGTAGAGCTGCTTTTTGGGTTGGACAGTGAACACACAGGACACCCATACCAGCCTCTGTGCTGTTTCGAGTAGGGGTTTCCCCTCTAGAGTCTTAGTCTTGCCCTGTCTTCTCTTATGGCTAATGAAGGGTATGTCCTGGCCAGGAAGCCACCAGAAACCTGCTGCCTGCCAATGGGAGCAGAGCCATGCCCCCTGGTCACAAGGACATCTGCCCACTGATGTTGGCCCAGGGTCATCAGCTGAATCAAGGCTAGACTCTGGAAATACCTCCTGCATAGCCATGGCGGCCAGAGGTGTGGTGACCTTGTATATGGCCCTGGCCTACACAGAAAGAAGGCTTCAGTAATTGTTTCAGCCATTGTGACCTATTAAGAGTTGACTAGGGAGGGTGGCTCAGCCAATAAAGTAGCTGCATTGCAAAGCCCAGGGACCTGAGTTCACTCTCCAGAATCCATGTGAAAAAGCCAGTGCTGGGGAGGGAGGGACTGGGACACAGTGGGGGGACCAGGGAG